ACCGAAAAGTTGCTTGAAGAAGCAGGAATAAAACAGTCCCAAATGAAGCCTTAGTTAATACTTTTTGGTTGCTTTCTAAAAATGTATGCGGTGTGAAACTATCTTTTAGAACTAGAATTGATACTATGTGATAACTTTAAGACAACGGTTATTTGTTCTTTTAAAAAATAGCTTATTTATAATATCCATAATAGCTTTCAAAAAAATTATTTTTTCGACAACAAATTCATAATAATCTTTATAAAATACTGCAGTTGTTCCATACAAACACTAAATAATTTATTTATTAATTCATCTATAATCTAAATTTTATATAAAAAACAAAAAAAGTAACAGTTCTTTACATAAAATATTAAAATTTTAAGGTGTAAATCAAATTTTGAAGATATTTAAGGTCACTAATTTGTTACTTTTACATAAATTTTAAGAAAACTAGAACATTATTAATAAATTTTAAAAAATAATATTTTTTGGAAACCTTTATAACAAATACATGTACTCCTACATCTTTTCCCTTTGCTTAAAACACCAACTTTTAGGCCATGTTTCATATTAATTTATCTTTTTAATTTCTTTATTCATCTTTGCCCTTTGTGAGCTCATTGTAGAGGGATTTACAAGATCAATGTTGTTTGAATAATAGATAAAGTTGCGATAAAATTTTGCTAAAGATGGATTGACAAGATCATCATCGTTTGAAGGAAAGAGCGAGGGAGTCATTGCATCCTGTGAATAAGAGGTGTACGTGTCTTTGTGACACCTGTGACAGACAAAAGGAGCGGGATTTGGCTTAACTCTAAACCCTAAACACTCCAGTTCGCTACGTGATGAGACAACCCTGGACAAGCTGAAATTTGAGCTAGTTAATATATGAGACGTAATTAAAGTTCATGCTCAAGTTTATGGCTCAATAAGTTTGACTAGTAAGCTTATTAATAAAACGAGTTTGAGTTGGCTCTATATTAATACATTATATTTTAACTATTTAATGTATAAATCTATTTTTTTTAGATGATGGCATAAATATTTGACTTCTAGGACCAAGTGTGCATTGTTCTATTTTTAAACTGTCTATTTAGTATTGGTGATAAATTTGAATTTTTTTAAAAAAATTTGGTTATTGATTCTTTTTCTTTATTTCTAATAACTTAGATCATACCATAAAAATAATTAAACTAATATTTTTCCATAATATAAATTTAGAAATCATAAAATAAGAATAAGTATTAAAAAATTACATGATATATTGATTTCCATAGATTTGAAAATTTATAATAATTATACCAACTCAGGGTACTCGTCTATAAAGGTATATGTAACATTAATGTTTAATAATCATTTGAGTTATTTTATTTAAATATTTCTATTTTGGTTTCATACAAATCGAACCCAAGCTTAACATAATATGAGTGCTTTCGATTAGTTTGAAAAAATGACTTGGGGAATTCAATTTTCTAAATTTACAATTAATCTAAATTTTTAGCAAATTTGCACAATGATGTACATTCCTGACATCGACATTCAACCCTTCTTCCATGAAAAAATAACTTTTAATCAAGCCGATATAATTTGTTTGATTAAAAATGAAAAAGATGAAACTAGATCATCCATAATTGCGATTAAATTTAAAGTATGATTTATATATTTAAATTTTAAATTTATTTTTAGACGAATGAAAGTATAATAAGTCATTAATTAGTTATAGTTCATGCACTAATTTAAAATAGAGATACTTACAATTTGAATTCATAATTATCAATTTTTAGTCAGTATAGTATTTGTTTTTTTTTATCTTAAGAAAAAGAAAATCAGATGCAAATAGACATTAGATGCTTCCTTACATTTGGGACTGTTGGCTAAAATTAAAATGTGTATATTTAAAAAAAATATATATTTTTTATATTTTAATGAAAAAAAAAACCATTTAATTTGTTGGGCCTGCAGCCGGGCTAAGTCCAATCCAAAAGGGGGACGCTGAACAGGCCTTCAGTGGTTTTCCGGCCTTAAGATTGTCTTTGCATATGTCATACTTCTTAACAGTTTCCTACATAATTTTTAACGTTGAAAATTTAGAGAATTGGGTTCGGCCTGAAATAGACGAAGTGATGGGACCCATTTTTTATTTTGATAGAGAAAAAAATAATTACTTTTTTTTTTTTTTTTA